CTGATCATTTATGTATACATTTGTCTATATCTATCTCGATTCGTTTTGCCTGTTACAAACAACCGTTATGTGAACAAAGTTATAATACCCTTGTGCACAAGTGCGCTCGGGTATAAAAACGCTTTCTATAAATTCATGTTTACTTCTTCATATATGACATTTTGATGGTTTTTTGTCACTTCTAATTTTGTTTAAAGAACACACTTGCATTACACTCGATAGACAGCAAGGATCTGACGGAAGCGTAAGCGTTTCGAAAGATACACCTTTTAGGAATTAGTTAACGTAGATGTAAGGATTTTGAAGTAAGCGATGTTTGTTTTACACCCTCTTAAACATGATGTATTTAGCATTGCCATATGGCAACACGGGGTCAATTTGGGTTAAGTTTCATAAAACATTGCCGATTTAGTATCAAATCTACTTGTCAGAGAGCCATCTTGGTCAAAAGTTTCATAATACATCTTCCGAAAATACTCGTCAGGTGTGCTAAATACAGGATTTTCAATTGGACTTATTTTTTTCTAAAAAATTTTCAGGTGGGTAGTACTACCTACCATACCCACGCCTTCCCCGACCTTATACCCGACCGCACTTGTGCACAAGGGTATTATAACTTTGTTCACATAACGGTTGTTTGTAACAGGCAAAACGAATCGAGATAGATATAGACAAATGTATACATAAATGATCAGAATGAAAAGAGAAATCGATTAAGCGGTGACTGTCTGTCCGCCCGCCCGTCCGTCTGTGCACACGATAACTCGAGTAAAAATTGCGATACCTTAACGAAACTTGGTACGTGCACTTCTTTCGGGCGTAGGACGGTATTGAAAATGGGCAAAATCGGACAATAACCACGCCTACCTCCCATATAACGGTAATTTTTATAAATACAAAAACTGCGATATTTTAGTAACTAGCGAAGATTATTCACTCAAAATTGATACTTATAATAATTTTTAGGCGAAAAATAGGAATATTATAAATTTGTGGAAAATTCAATTTCTTCCAAACTTGGCACAGCATACCAAACGGCCGAAAATTTTTAAAGTCGGACTATAACCACGCCCACAATTCATATAACGGTAATTTAGAGAAATATAAAATCTGCGATAAATCAGTAAATATTAAAGCTAATTTATTCAGGAATTATGCTTGTAACAATTCTTTACCAGGAAATACGCTTATAATAAAATTTTGGAAAATGGGCGTAGCACCGCCCACTTATGTACACATATATGTATTTCGGTAACCGTTCTACCTATTTGTAACAAACTCGGTATGGTTATTGTGCTTGCCACGTAAAAGCAAAGCACAGGAAATTATTGACTAAAATTACGGCCGCTTTTCATACAACGGTAAATTTCAGAAATGCTTGAAACTTCAATATTTCGAGATTTAAGGACGCTAATTTACTCAAAATTTTTACACCCCGGCTTGCCATGTAGCGGTAGCTTTCGGTAAGGTGAAAATCATATATTTAATAATTGCACCGGGTATTTAATGTTCGGCTCCGCCCGAACTTAGACTTTCTTACTTGTTTTAAGTTAGAACCTTTTGAGCTGTACAGAGAGATTTGAAATTCGATCAAATGAAAACCGACACCATGCGAGACCTCTCATCACTCAGAAATGGTTTAGATGAATCATTAGGAATATTTTTTGAGGTTTTTGAATAAGGTTTCACCTTTTTAAAAAATTGAATTTAATTTTGAAGTTTTAACGCCATGCGGGTTCAGTAGTTATTATTATTATTAGTATCGACATATTTACGGTTAAATTTATCGACCTTGCAATCGTTATAATCATCGGTATATTTGTCGGTATTTTATCGATATATTTATCGCTTTGTTAACGATATTTTTTACGATATTGTTTTCAATATCATAATCGACATTGATATATTTATCGATACATTTAGTTGAAACCCCCGAAATAGCATCTTGAATCTTAAAAATCTCGAAAATCTTGAAATGTTACCGAGAACAACAAAATTCCAGAGACCTCGAAGTCGTCTCCCGAAAATCTTGAAGTTGTCTCGAAAATCCCGAATTTGATCTAAATTTACTTGACTAAAATTTAATTCCTGAATTCCTAGAAAATTTTAATTTTACGTGTAAAAATCTCAATAACTTTAAAAGCTGTGGAGGTTTAAAAATAGGTTAGCCATATTTGACATGGGGGGGGCAAAACTACATCAAGTGCCATTAAAATATATTTAATTTCCCACTGAATTGTAGGCAATTTTGACCACTTTGTGAAAAATCGCATGAAAATGCTGAACTTTAGGGCCTTTCAAGGCACGTCTTTCCGTTGTCCGATTTTAAAAATTTTTGCGGGGAACGTTTCTATGAACAAAGGAATATTTCCAGGGGGAGTCTTGCTTTGTAGCTTAACAAAAAATTTTCTTCATACAACTAAGGCGCAGTCTAATGTGCAGGCATGGACAGAGAACGAGCACACAATGGGCTAGCTCTTCTCAATATTCATCGCAATCTGGATGTTAATGTTGACTCAATATTAGAAGAATCTATACCTCGGTGAGATGCATTTTTTTGAGTTTTGCTAAATTATATCCACAATGAAATATAATATGCTGAATACTCTAAATAAAACAATGAAATTCTTGGTTGGTACGAATGACTTTACATTTACAATCACTTTTTATTATGAAGCAAACAGCTGAAAGATAACGGGAAGCATATAATCTGACGATTTCCACAAGCCGTAGTAACGAAAACCGTCAACAAAGATTGTCGTGTGCACTTGCTCTTTTTCAAAACTACTACAGATTTTTCTACGAAATTTGCTATTTTTTGTTTTGTTTGCTGTTTTCCGTTCATATAATTTGTCACAATCATATGACT